TATCCCTGCCCGCCAGATTGCCACCATTTTGGCGCCAAAATCCACGCCTATGGTTTGCGCAATTCGAGGCAGCTGTCGCCGCCAGCAAAATAGGAGAAGAGCAGAAATTCAACCTCGTCGTACCATTGCTCGGCAACAGCGACCTTGAACAGATCGCCGACATCATATTAAACCCCCCAGCGTCCGGCAAGTACAGCACACTAAAACAACGGCTGATCTCCACATATCAAGAGTCTGACCATCGCCAGCTACAGAAACTGCTGAGTGGTCTCGAGCTCGGCGACCAAAAACCGAGCCAGCTACTCCGCAAGATGCGTGACCTCAGCGGCAAACTCCTGTCCGACGAAGCTCTAAAAGTAATGTGGCTGAACCAACTGCCAGCTCAAATACGCGCCGTACTTTCCGTCAACACAGAGTCATCACTCGAGATGCTAGCCGCAATGGCTGACAAAATGATGGAGCACTTCGAGCCAGCATCCGTCAACGCAGTCTCCACAGCAACAGCATGTCAAGACAACTTACACATCGCCTTACTGTCGAAACAAATAGAAAAGCTATCACTTGAAATCGCCGAACTCCGTACCAACCAGCAAAACCACCGACATTTCCCGCGCTTTCCACACCGCAACCGTTCACGCTCCCAATCAAGATCCAGACATCACACGCATAACAATATCAAGCCCGGCGACCCGAATTGGGTGTGTCGCTACCACTACAGATTCGGCGACCAAGCACGCAAATGCGAACCGCCGTGTTCAAAGCAGCGGGAAAACTAGAAAGTACATCGACGTTGGCGGGCGTCGATGTAAACCAAACCAGCCGCCGACTATGTATTATAGACATCAACCTCCGAGAGAAATTTCTTGTAGACACGGGAGCAGACATATCAGTCCTATCAGCAAGAAACAAAAAACATATCAAGCCGGCGAAGACCTCATACAAACTGTTCGCGGCCAACGGCACCGAGATTCGTACCTACGGAGAGCGCACACTCGAGCTCAACCTAGGCTTACGAAGACGATTCAGGTGGACATTCGTCGTGGCCGACGTGAACACATCTATATTGGGCGCAGACTTCCTAGTACATCACCAACTACTAGTCGACCTGCATCACAGAAAACTCATCGACCGCATCACAGAACTTAGCGTAAACGCGATCAAGATCAACGGCACCGAGCAAGACACCGTCTACATGGTCAACCGCGATCACGCTTATCACGACCTACTAAAGAAATATCCCGATGTTCTGCGACCTATGTCATTGAAGACTCCCATCAAACATGACGTCACACATCACATCGAGACAACCGGACCGCCTATATACTCACGAGCGCGACCCCTACCGCCCGACAGATACAAGGCAGCAAAACTTGAGTTCGAGCGCATGATCGAGATGGGTATCTGCCGACCCTCTAACAGTCCTTGGGCAAGTCCACTGCACGTCGTTAAGAAAAAAGATGGTTCACTCCGAGTCTGCGGCGACTACAGAAGACTAAACGCTGTTACAGTACCCGATCGCTACCCTATACCACGTATTCAAGATTTTACCTACCAACTTCACGGCAAGAAAATATTCTCGAAACTCGACCTCAAGATGGCATACTTCTGGATTCCGATAGCTAAAGAAGACGCACAGAAAACAGCAATCATAACTCCGTTTGGCCTCTTCGAATTCAACTGCATGACATTCGGCCTAAGAAACTCAGGACAGACCTTCCAACGATTTATGCACGAAGTACTACGAGGACTCGACGACATAGTGTTTTGTTTCGTCGACGATCTACTTGTGCACTCGAAAAATCAAGATGAACATCGAAGTCACATCGAAATAGTACTCGAACGCCTAAATACCTACGGTGTCAGTCTAAACATCGATAAGTGCGAGTTCGACAAACAAAACATCGAATTTCTTGGATACGAAGTTTCACCAGAAGGAATCAAACCCACTCAAGACCGAATACAAGCAATAGTCAACTACCCAAAACCTCAAACAATTCAAGATTTAAGAAGATTCCTCGGCATGATTAACTTTTACCGGAGCTGCTTACCCCACCAAGCCGAATATCAACACGAATTAAATAAATATCTTCATAACACTAAGAAAAAAGACAAGACTCCGATAACGTGGACACCAGAAGCAGAGCTAGCCTTCGAGAAATGTCGACAAAGCATCCTCGACGCTACTACTCTCACGCACCCGATACATAGCGCGCCGCTACGCTTATATACCGACGCCTCAAACACAAGCATCGGCGCCGTACTGCAACAACAAGTAGACAACGTGTGGAAACCTCTAGCATTTTTCTCAAAAACAATGAGCGAGACGCAGCGACGTTACAGTGTGTACGATCGCGAATTATTAACGATGTACATTTCTGTCAAACACCTTCGTAGGTTAATAGAAGGCAACGACCTTACGATATATACCGACCACAAACCTCTCACCTATGCACTAACAAGATCACCGAGTACCAGCGACACATCACGAAGAGAACGACAACTTCACTTCATTAGCCAGTTTTGTTCAAATATTAAGTACGTACACGGTGATAACAACGAAGCGGCTGACGCCTTATCACGCATAGAAGAGATCGACCTATCTGAAACTTCCATCAACTACAATCAACTCGCTCAAGACCAGGAAAACGACTCAGAACTACAGAGATACATGTCACATCCAAACCTACAGTTCACCAGTATTTCGCTACCTGGAGGTCAACGTCCGCTTATCTGTGAAACATCGACAGGCAACATTCGTCCATATTTACCCGCGAAATATCGTTTTGTCGCATTCAAAGCGCAACACGACTCGAGTCACCCAGGCGTGCGTACTACGAGAAAAATAATATCGACGAAGTTCTTCTGGCCTAACATGAATAAAGAAGTCGGAACATGGGCAAGAACATGCATCGGTTGTCAGCGAGCAAAGGTACAGCGGCACACTATCAGCCCGCTCGGCGAGTTCGGAAAATCCCAGCGTTTCGAACATATTCACGTCGACATCGTGGGACCACTGCCGCCGTCAAATGACTACCGATATCTAGTTACCATGATTGACCGCTGCACAAAATGGCCTGAAGCTATACCCGTACGCGACATCACCGCGGACACAATCGCCAAGGCTATTTACGACGGTTGGATATCCAGATTTGGTTGCCCGCTACGACTTACGACCGACCAGGGAAGACAATTCGAGTCGTCACTGTTTAAGGCGCTGATGAAGAAATGTGGAATAAACAGAATACGCACTACTGCTTTCCACCCTCAAGCAAACGGACAAGTCGAGCGCTGGCACCGAACTTTAAAGTCAGCACTCATGGCAAGATGCGCGCGCACAAACTGGAGCGACGAGTTATCAACTGTGCTACTCGGCCTACGTACAGCATTACGTCAAGACAATGAAGTCAGCCCGGCACTCATGACCTACGGTTCAACACTCCGCGTACCATCTGATTTCTTCGTGCCTACTAAGCCGAAAATCGATGACGCCGAATTCGTCCGTCAGCTGACAGAAACGATGTCTACATTATCGCCGAACAGCAAGCCACACTCAAACTCCACAAGGTCATTTGTACACAAAGACCTTGCTACGTGTACACATGTTTTCGTGCGCAATGACACCGTGCGCAGCCCACTAGTACCTCCCTACGACGGCCCCTACAAAGTAATTCGGCGCGACAGCAAACATTTCACCATACAAATGTATCCACGAACTGCAGTTATTTCAATAGACAGACTTAAACCAGCATATCTACTCAACGAAGACGACACCATATCAACATCAGTTACGCGCCAACAACAAGACAAGATACCTACAACAACTTCGCGCCAACAGCAAGACTATGTACCTACTGCATCCGCGCGCGAACAAACATCGAACTATCTACCTACAACTACAAGTAACGACGCACGGACAGTGTCATTCACCCCACCCCGCGATGCCTACGTCACCCGTACCGGCCGTACAGTGAAACCAAACGTACGCTTCGCTTAGGGGGGAGTGATATAGCGGCATACATACATACCTACCTACCTACATTCTATGGCATAACCACCACACCTCATACCTATTACCAGATTACCTTTACCGTACCTCCTTGAAGAACCAGATTACCTTTACCGTACCTCCTTGAAGAACCAGATTACCTTTACCATACCTCCGTGAACAACAAACCAATACCAACGTTTTTGACTTTCTGTGATCAGAAACAGTGAAACAGGCCGCCTTGAAAAAGGCGTTGCAAACGTTTTAGACTTCTGACAGAAACTCGTCTTGAAAAAGACGCTTGTAACGTTTTAGACTTCTGTTGACAGAAACTCGTCTTGAAAAAGACGTTTTAAAACGTTTTTGACTTCTGCTCAGAAACGAAATATAATGAGCAAGCAAATAAGCAGGCAAGCAAGCAGAAGCGAAGCCCGAAGAACACGGAGGCACGAAGTTGCGGTCCACGACACTGGACACGTCTGTAGTCGTCGGCGGCACCGGAGCGAAAGGACGCGTCTCGCGGCACGCGCCCTATTATAGCCTCGCGCTGTGCTCGCGACATCGCGACGAACGGCGACCGCGACGGCGCATGCGCGCAGCCGCTCCGTCGAGCCTTGCGACGAACGCGCGCTGCTATTGGTCAATTGTATTTACATATGTGTGATAGTGTATAAGTTAGCCATAAGACATGTAAATATAAGTAGGGATATGTAGCCGAATAAATCATTCCAAACCACGACAGCCTCGAGTTAATTACAAGAAGAAAACCTACCTGCTCTCACTCCTAAAAACTTTTTCAATATTTTTACTTAACAATTTTAGTTAGCTTATTTATTGTGTTACAAAATGTATGTGGTGCTTCCAATGGGTGCTTCGTAATTAAGACATATTAATTTCCACCATAGCTATTAACATCGAGATCATAGATTGAGATAGAAAATATTATATTTCCCACGGAACTTCCTATGTCAATGGCTATTAACCGCAGTTTTGTTTACCATTTGTTTACATACTCCTTGGTCTTAGTGTCATTAGAAAAGGGCGCGAATCATGAATTCAGCTGCTTTTTGACAGTTTTTGTCAAACAAATTTACAAATGTCAAAAACTATTGCCGGCTGGTTTCTAGTTTTGTAAAATCAAATTGTTTTCGTGTTCCTATTTAATTGTAAACAAGTCAAACAGTCTACTAATACAATTTATTGTTGATGCAATGGATGAAGATAACCAAGATGGACCATTTACTGTGTGGCAAATGTTTAACGCTCCTACTATGGTGTTGTTCAACAACTTGGAACATGCAGCTGATGGTTTGGATAGACTGCTGACATCTATACTAAAATTATCTGGGTAAGTACAGATATTTATTTTCTAATATTCTAGAATCTAACATCTAAATGAATACCACTTTACCTTGAAAGTGTATGGTTAATCATTGAATTGTTTTTATGGTTTGTTTACAGAGACTTCTCTGAAGTATTAGTGCCAAGGGCAGGTTCCTCGAAGTACCCAGATTCATATTATCAAGCATTCAATACGTGGCTTGTTGGCAGGCTATTTTACGTGTGGTCTGTTGAGGAGCTAAGCAGGTAATTTTATTTTAACATTACCATGCAACATCAAATTTAATAAAAGGAAGAATTCTTAACATTTATACTTTCCCACCATATTTTGCAAAGCTTGTAATACCTAAATATATTTTAATCTAAACTAGAATAAGTAGTAATTATTATTTTAATTTCTAGGATACATGAAACAAGCAAAGAAGCTCAATTGAAAATTCTGAACATACTGTCCATGAATGCTGCATCTTTCTATAATACTTTGCACTTAGAGTATGTGTCAGTTTTAACTAAATTAGTTCAGTATTACAAAGATAATGAAGCGAAACAGTTAAAAGAGTATTTGCTTGAAAATTTTAAATCGGAGCAAATAGACATTCCTAATGTTCAGTTAAACTTAGAGCCCATATATGTAAAGGTGAAAGATATACAAACATGCAAGACATTGATAAACTTAACATTGCAATTACTTGCAGAGAGTCTACCAATGAATTCGGTATACATGAATAAACACAAAATGGAATATTGCAACCTATTTAATGAGATTCTGTACATGCTTGATAATTACAGTGTGGATTTAAAGCTACACTCAATAAAGTTTTTCATAAATTTAAGCTACAATTATGAACAATTTGGTATACACAAATTTCAGAAATGCTTTCCATTTATTTTTAGTGATTTGCTTTATTCGATAGAATCTTTGTTGAAATCATTGAATGTGTACTATGAGAAAGGGGAAATAGATGCAATCTACTTAGACAACTTAAACAAATTGATGTGCACTTTTATGAAAGTTATTAAAAAATGTCCTGACAAAGAGAATAAAGAAATTTTTTCAAATATCTGTACAGTAATCTTAAGAACTAAGAATAATAAAACATTTTGTAATGACTTGAAGTTGGAATGTTTATCTATGACTAAACACATTAATATTTCAAAAGATCTGATAGATTTATCAAATAAGGATGCAAGTGAAATTGATATACTCAAGGAGTACTACTGTAAAAATATACTGGACTGTATGAATTCTGATTCACAAGAAAAAACAAATATAGATTCAAAGGACAGTTGGTGTTACCAGCAAGTGATAAATGTAATTGAATCAATAAAGACCTGTGAGGATAGTAAAATTGATATATTTTTAATAAGTTACCATTTGAAGAGATGTTTGTCTGCATTGGGTGTATTGCAAGAAGTTGCTTTGATAAAACAGCAAGATAAGACAAAACTTATATCAGAGGAAGAAATCTATGTGATTTGGACATCCTTGCAGAAACTTATTGGATTCAATAAGAGCATTATTATAGGAGACAGTAACTGCTCTAAACTGTACATGGACATACTTCTAAGTTCTACAGTCCTCCACCATGCACCATCTAGAGATGATTGTAACAAAATTCTTCAACTATTGTGTTTGCAAAACTCTCCACAGTTCTCTGAACATAATTTTGGTTTCAATGATAACACCAAAATAATGATACTGAAATATATCATGATTGTTAAACTCATTCTGAAAGGCAAATCCAGTGAAACATGGAACAGAATTATCTCCCATTTAATTAGTGGTTTTCTGAAAAATAAAACAGTTCAAAATTACAAGCAGGTAAATATGCTTATTGCTTCAAGTTTCCAATGTCTTCTACATATAATGACATCTATCTCCTCCTAGGGAAGGCAGTGACATAGGATTACCATAATATGGTAGTTTCCAACTAGTCAAATTCAATACTTTTATCCAAACGTCAAAAACGATACTTTTCTATGAATTTTGTATGAAATACTAAGTTATGACGTCATAACATTTTTTCGTCAAATGGCTTACTTATTTCTTATTAATTAGCCAAAAAATCTAAAAGTTAGTGTATCGATATATTGATAAATAAAAGTAGTTATTTTTCAATATTTTAATATATTGAAATGTCGAAATAATTTATTTTTGACCTAGGAAACTACCCAATTTATAATGATTACCCTTTTTCAGGTATTACCATTATGTCCACTCTTAATGTTGAATAACATACTCTCTTCAAGTAAACTAATAGGGGACTTGCTAATGCCTGCATTTTTAACAAAAGACCAAGAGGTTCAGACAGAAGTTGCTGAAGTTATATCAGCTTTAGCCTGCATGTCATTGGGGACCTATGACATCGTCATTACTGTACCAAAACATTTTATTGGACATTCTATATTCACAAATAATATTATAAATCTACTATTAATATGTTCTAAATGCCACCACATAGATAAGAATAAATACTCAGAAGGTTGTTTAAGCAAAATAAATCAAAATAAAGTTGTAATATATTCAGAAAGTAATGCTTATACTCCAAGTCAACACTCTACAATTACAAGTCTTAAAAGTTTATTTGTGAAGTTCTTGAACTGGAAGCAATATGTAGATCTGAAAAACAGTGGATTCTGGAATCTGTTTGCCAGGCTCTGTCATCACTACTATGTGCTTAACTATGCAGCTCTTACAGATTTGTTGAATGAAGAAAACAGTGATCAAGTTTTGAAGTGTTTTACACCATTTGTTGAGGATAATTTAGTAAGTAAAAATCATAGATAATAAGTTTATAACACTTTTATTTCAAATTATAATTCACAATATGCATTTTTTTAGGCAGAAGAAGATCCTGAATGGAATGCTCACAAGGATTCCGCTTACAGTTTATGTGTCAATATACTAGTGAAGTCAACACGAAACAGTTTGGAAAACAATGATTACTCTCAACAGACCAACACTTTAAATATCATAAAAGAGTTTGGTTTGTGTTCAAATGAGAAAGTAGTTTTGCCTGTAACAAAACTCTTTGTTTATTTTATAATGCATCCACAATGTTCTCTTGGGCCAAAGGCTGTGGTGAGTCTTAGGGATGTTTGTGAAGTACATGGGTACACCCCTAATCAAGTGTATCACCGCTATAAAAAAGACTACTGTAAACTGTTTGTTGAATGTAGTTTGTACAGTGGAAAAGAATTTGCGATATCACTACTCAAAGTCGTTAGGGCTTTTGGTTTTGTTGGTTACAGAGATTTCATTTCCAAAGATGTACATCACTTTTTACCTTACTTGATGCCATACTCTGTGACAATAAAAGAAGTTCCATCCATGATAGAGGAAATTGCCTCCCTGGTCCAATGTTCGGTTTCAGACTTCTTGATTGAGAGATTTCCTCATATCTACGTGCATGTCTATTTGAACGAGTCTAAGGAAGTTGAGAAGAAATGTATGGACATTATTGGAAAGCTGACCAAGACGTCGGTACTAAGTTTGATAAAGAGACATTTCAGAGTGATATTGACAGAATTTCTGCTGCAGTACTGTTGTGATTCTGAAAAAGTGTTGAATGCATGTCGATACTTGGCTTGCCATGACCCTGACGTGTCGACACCAACTGGAAGTATGACAATGAGCACTTCGCAAATCGCGGACTTTTTGAACCCCAAGTTTTTGGGTGTTCTAGCTTATTTTGATCATAAACTGGTAAATGCTAAAGTAGCAATATCAGTGAAAAGAAAAGCATTGAAGAGTTTCCCTGATATAATGCAATTGATGGGAGTTAAATACTTAACGCCGTTAAGGTTTAAGGTTTTGGCTACCTTAAGATCAGCTCTGCAATTGGCGAAGGAATTCCCAAAAATATTAGCAGAGGCATGGAGCGCCTTTATTCATAACATTGATACGATTTCTTTGGGACCACTAATGTCTAATTTAGCAGTATCGCTTTTACAACAATTGGAATATGCTCCTCAAGAAATAAACAAAATATTTCATTATCTTGTATTGAATAACGAGAATTTGCTTAGTTCTCATATATCTGATCTATTTTTCTTAGAAGATACGAATATATCTGATAGAATAAAGATGGTTATCAAGAGGCATGTGAAGAGAACTCAGCCTGACGGTTTCCTGGACAAGATCAAGTGGTATTTACAACATTTGAATCACGACATACCCAGTATTAAGGCGTATGCGTTTTCTCACCTCGACAAATTATTGAAAAGTAATAGATCTGAGATACATAAAGCTATATTTGGCGGTAAAAATATAGATCCAGTCATAGTCGAGTTGATTGATTCGCTGTTGGCGGGTATGTATATGAACGTACACCAACATAGTTCGTATTGAAATACCTTATTTATTTGTCATTAACGAGTACTACCTATATAATATAAAATTGATTTAGATTGACTTAATCATTAGGTTTACGGCTTATTCACGTAATTGTTTGACGAGATACTCGACTAGTTTCAAGCGATGCTAGAAGCCTATATTCATGAGCAGCATTCTGCCACAGTTACCGCGTGAGTAAGCCGGAAACATAATAATTAATTTAGTATGTCTCACGAAAGTTATAATTAAGATTTAGATTGACATTCAAAGAATGACATGTTACTAATATTACTATTACTTCAAGAACACTAAATCTACACGATAATTGTAATTTACTCCAAAATCTTGCAATGCATTTTATACTACAATTAGCTTTTAATTTTCAGGTTGCAAAGACCCTGATCCTAAAGTAAGTTTATCAAGTGGTGCCTGCCTCGGTCAGTTGGGAGCTATTGAGGCGGGTCACCTACCTCGGCAGTACGTGCAGCCGGATAGGTCGCCCTTCGCATTCTCTATCGGAGACGACTGCTTCGCCGCAACTGCGCTCGTTGAACTGTCACGGGCCTTCCAATATGAAAAGGATACTATGGTAATTATTATTTTAGTTTTGTTGAATATCGTCGTCATGCTACCAACGAGTACCTAATCAAGAGTCCCGGTGTGGCTTGAAACTAATAGAGTCAAAAAAAAAGGTTTTCCTGATCTCTTCAGTAAGTCGTTTAAACGTATTGCAAAGATGTTTGTGATTGTGTAATGTTTTAAAGTCCTTAACCAAGTAATCCAAAGCTACCAAACTCTTAAATAGTTGGCCCAAAGCTATCTAAGTCTTGGTTCGAAGACTATGTTAGCTTAAAATCTATTTAATATTTTTTTCAGAATATGGATTGTTATGCTTTAACTATTCAAGAGATATTAAAAATTTACGACATTTCGCCAACGGGTAGCAAAAAAGATGTGTGGGACAGTTTTCCTGAACATATGCATCAGATAATGCATCCGTTATTGAGTTCCAGGTAATTATTTTATAAATATTTTGATAGGATAGTGGGTCATGCATGATACTTAAATATTTTCGTACACATGGATTCAAACATTTCTAAACTTACCTACGTGATTACAAAGGTAGAGTAAAATAAAAATAATTTTAATTGATGGATGCTGAATGTTATCCGGAAACCACCAAAAAATCAAGATATAATAAAACCTGTTTATATATTTTGATATTGATTTACTTTCAGGTACACGCTGGCGTATCCGTCTCAACCGAAAAAAGCACATCCTTTATTTGGATCAACTTACGCAACAACATTTTTAGAGTGGGCACACAAGTAAGTTCTTTACTAAACTTTTTATAAATATCCTTTTCCTATTTTCTATTAAGACAGAAGGTTGACCCTTACTTGTTTCATGACGATGAAGCAGCGAGACGCCCTTACTTAAGTTCTTGTTTTCCTAATTGTTCAGTTAAGATTTAGCACTGCTTGTAACATAGGATTTCATTACTTTGTTCCAGTTGGGCAGGGCAACTGATTCCACTGATAGAATCGGAAAGTATTCGGGAACTCCTACGCACAGTGCACCCTAGTATGCGGCGAGACGTCAGAACTTTGTTTCTGTTCCTTCCCTACGTGTTGTTACATGCTGTCAAATCAAAGAATAATTCACAATACATACAAGAAGAAATATTGGCTGTTATTGGTAAGTTTCACTCACAACTGTACGTAATCGTATGAATAATTTATAAATATTTTTCAACACACTTCCTCATAAAGAGTCTCTTATCCCACGGGAATTAGGCACATACCGACTCCATTAAACTGTAACTTTTTCATTACTTTTATTGACTGGTTGGTAATAGAGTTCTTTATGATATTGGTTGCTAAAATACGATGCGCGAAAGGCCCAAAAAAAGAAACCTCATTTTTAGTCTATGGCTGATGCCCGCGCATAGGAAATCTGATTAATTTTCCCGCCATTACGAAATATTTTTCACACCTAGTCCTCGTCTCGTTTTCTCTTTTGATGGTTTTTTTTATTTAACTACTATTTTATTCAATTAATATGTTATTATTTTTAGGTCTAGAAAACTTTGAAGTGGAGAATTCAGTGACAATAGAAAGGTGTAGATATAAAATGCTACGGCATATCAGAATGACACCGAGCATCAACTCTGTTCAGACAGAAGAAGGCAATCAGGTATACATCACCAAGTTGATAACAGTAGCTTGAAATCACTTGGGTCTTTTTTGAAGGGTTAAAATCATCAAATCACTTGTTTCGCTCTTGGTCAGGCTCTTATTTCACTAAAAACTACCCTTCCTTCTCCTGTTCCAGGGAGGGGTCGCGAAGCATTATTGCGTTTGACCCGCAAGCCCTGCTGAAATACCCAGGTGTTTAGTCTAGCTAAAACTACGTACTGCAGTTCGGCCTTTCCCATTGTAGCGATCAAGATGATTAAATTTTTGCTTGCTTTCTTCTTTTACCAACATCGATGTAGTATTAATGATATATTAATTTGTTTTCAGAGTAAGTGCAGTAAAACAATTTACACACTTCTAGACTTTCTGAATAGATGGCTGCTGGAGTGGTGCCATTCTAAACAACGTCCTAGGGAAAACGAAAATTACAAGTAAGCTGTAATTAATATTTTTATTGGGGTTTTCAATTGCAAAATATCGAAGTCTGCACTTGAAGAGTTATTTATTCATGCCAATGTTCCTTCCACAGAGCAATATCCTCATTTCTGGATAAATTCGACAAGTTAGTGATAGCTCGTGGTAACTTTGCTTGCGGCGAGTTGGAGAGGGCTCTGCAATACCTCGAGTTGTATATGGACGAGAGAAAGGACAAGATGCAGGAACAACTTCCTTTCTTAGCCGAGATATATGCCTTGTTAGATGAACCGGATTCTGTGGCAGGTGAGAAGTCTGATGTTATTTGAAACAGGTAATAGATATCCACGGGAATTCATTTATCAACTGGATTATGTATAATGTAATCTAAACCAATAATATAGATACATATGCTTTTTTGCTAAAGAAAGTAAACATCGATACAAACGAAGGTCATACTTATCGATGACAATTAAGTATTACTAAAGAAACACCAAAGACTTATTCTCTTATTCTAGCTCAGGATAAAACGTTGAGACATAACTTGTAGGAAATTCGCTTCCGCTTGAACAATGGTTTTTAGTTTTAGTTGTATTGTTAGTAATTATTTTTGTATCACTGTTTTCAGGTATCTTATCAATGAAAAGATCGGAGCCTTCGCTAAAGGAGTTGATTCTCGCGCAAGTAGTAACAGGACGATTGCAAGATGCTGCCCTGTGTTACGAACGATTGGCCCAAGAAGGCCAGTTAGATAGACATAGCTTGCAGGTGGGTATGCTGTTTGACTAAATATAAGTTAAATATAGTCTGATATTATTTTATAAGCTCCATATACAATGATCTAAGCGTACAGATAGAGAATACATGGCAAGTTGCCGTTGTCATCTATAAAAAACAGTATTTTTATTTCTTAACCAATATTTGAAAATAAAAAAAAGCATTAAGTGGCTGTATTACTATCCCCTGTCTGGAGACATTTGAAACTAGACATTATTTTGTTCTGCTCGTGCTTTCAGGAAACACACGAAAATCATTAGTGTATGGTCCAAACTCCATTCCTTTCATGTGATAAATATTTTTAGGGCTTTAAGTCCCCGATAAAGTTCTGTAATGCACTGTTCTGTACTTCTGTATCACAGTATACTTTATACAATTTACTTTCTATAAGTATTCAATTTTTTTTATCTAGAAACTTAACAATGAAATTAATGAATATTAACAATTAATAGTGAATATTCAGACACTATGAAACAGGGGACATTTGTTTTATTCAATCAAAATTTAGATATAGCCAGTTGATTTCCAGTTTGTTTTTTCAGAGCATGATTGACTGTTACCTTGGTCTGGACCAGCCTTTCACTGCATACCGGTTGCTAAGCAAGCATGATTACGATGACGGTATGAGTGAATTATCAGCTGAACCTTTGTGGCGACTCGGGCGGTTTGATGAACTCGACGAGCTTTGCAAGAAACCCGTGGTAAGTGCATCTATGTATAAAGAAATATGAAAAAACTTCGGTATAATCACATTTTTTCCTATCGATATACATTTTCACACTATTCATCACTATATAGGATGGATATTGTATTTATTGTTTGTTAATTTTCATGAAGAAGATCATTCAATAACATTAAATTATGTCCTACTAGTCTCTGCCAGTAGCTACGGCCGCAGAACCAAGGTAAAATGTATTATTTCAGACTTTGTCAATCTTTGTGCCATTCAGGTCCGTCTAGAAGTTTTTATGTTATTGATTAACAAACATCCATCTTTGCAAACATTTGTGTCTATAATATTAGTGGGATTAAGCACTGTAGAGGGAGCATATATTATTTTTTATACATTTATTTTACAGCCACCATCAAAAGAAAACTGGGGTCTACTAATGGGCCGCACCTTGTTAGCCTATCGACAACAAGACCACGATGCCTTCCTAATATCGTGTAAGCAGACGACAAGTAGGCTACTGGCTCAGATGGATGCTGAGAGCAAAGGGGAGAATGCATTGAGGAGCGGATACCAAAGTGTACTTGGTCTACATATTATTACTGAAACTAGCCATGCTGAAGAGGTCTTGCAGAGGTTGGTTTTTTAGATGTTGTGTGTTTGAGCTTACCGGAAGCCCAATCCCTACCTTTCTCCTTGTCCCTTCTGAATCCTTAAATAATTGAAACCTTATCCCCAAAAGGCGCGCAACGCACTCGTAACTCCTTTGGTGTTGTGGATGTCCATAGGTGGCGCCCATTGCTTACCTCAGGTGCCCTGCATGTTTGCCGACTTATAATAACAAGAACTTATTGAATGCTGTAAGGCTCTAAATAGTATAACTGATCTTTAGTTTATATCTGGTTATTATTGCTATAATTTTTTTATATATTTACAACAGTAATTTGCATTTTTTTTTATTTGTATATTCATTTTCAAGGCGTTATTGGTTATCATTGCAGGTTGAAAGAGCTAAGAGACGGCGATCGCCAGAGTACGGAGATCTTGAATCAGTTGCTGGACGAGTGGAGACTGCGTCTGTCCGTAGTGCAGTCTGATGTCAGGACCATCGAGCCACTGCTGCGACTGAGGAGGATATTGCTGCAACAGACACAGGTAACGAATAAATACAGGAATAATGTTAAAGTATCATTAAGCTGTAGTGCCCACTACTGACTAGATGGTTTGCGCCTTAATCACTACGTTTGCTCAAGGCGAATTGGCGTTTTCAAACTTTATTTTTTTCTCTTTATTATATTAGGGACTTTAGATTTCAAACTTATAATTAGAAGTTATCAGTCCAGGTTTCTTTACGATGTTTTCGATCAGCGTATTTGTCACGACTTCATGCATAAAAAGCAAGTGCCTTAAGCGTCTTAGTACTTAACGCCATAAGCGCCTTAATGGATTTATTTATTCAAATAAGGTAGGCTCACAGCTTATGTATACAAAGAAGTTAAAAGTATTGGTTATAGAAAGTAGGTTACGAGCTTACCAACATTCTTAAAATTATGCGTTTGTACAGACAAAATATATGGATGAAGATTTCAATACCAATTCCCCAAAATAGGTCAGGTTAAAATATAAAAGTTATTTCAGCAACTGCTGGAACCGACACACCCTGTCACGGCGAGTCGGTTGAAGGCGTGCATTGGGGACCTCTGGCTACAGAGTGCGAAACACGCCAGAAAAGCTGGCATCTTCCAACAGGTATATATACTAACCTACTTTTTTATGTAACAAAATAAATATTTAATAAATACCTATGTAACAAAATTAATTGTAATTCATGTTATACACAAACATATGATATGATATTTCGGTGTAATATTCTGCCTGTTGATTTTGAAAATTGTTATTTATAAATTTTCAAAATATTTACATACATAGTAATAGTGTTCATGTAGTTATTTCTATCTAATATACAGTATGATAAATTAGTTTCATTTCACTTCCAGTCGTATATGTACGTGTTGAACGCAGAAGAGTACCAACCGGAGGAGTTGTTTATAGAGAAGTCAAAGATGTACTGGGCTCGAGGACAACATGAACACGCGTTTACCACGCTACGTCGCGGCCTGGACGATACATATCCTATGCTGGAACAACTTAATAATGATCAGAGGTTAGTGATTAATTAGGTTAGTAATTAAGCTATAATTTGCGAGTGACTGTGACGTGTCGCGGGTTCGAGTCCCGCGGAACAAACACTTTGTGTGATCGAATCCGATTCTAGTTTTGGGTTTGGGTGGTTTGGGTAGGTATGTGAATTTGTATGTTTGTAAACGCACCCATGATACAGGAAAAATCCTAGATTGAACTACGTTGCACTCTAGAATGTGCGTCACAGGGTAGCTGATCAACGCTGTTAAGGGGTCTCAGTGGGGTAGCGCCGTGGTCCTAATGATACTCTCATTTATCTTAGCTAGGCAAAGAGGCTATGAAAAAAAGGGAAACTTATTAATTTGGAACATTTATTACATTACACAAAACACAGCACATTAAACGACAAAATAGCGTTTTGGTATATTTTCTTTTCCAGAAAAATATGCGCAAAAGCTAAATTATTGATAGCAAAATACAACGACGAGACTACGAATGTCGACGTGGACGTGAATATTGGGTATTACAAGGAGTCGGTGGAGGTATTCAAACAATGGGAGAAGAGTTTGGTGAGTACACTAAATATGTATAACTAACATAGTTTAACTTAATTCATCAAATCCCAAGCGAACGCCGGCGTTTTCGAACATATTGTTCTTCTATTGTGTCTCGAATTACTGCAATGGAAAGGTTAAAAAGCCCAGACATATGTTTGTTTTCTTGGAAAAACACATTTCATAGCCTGAAATACATAAATTCATTTCTAATGAAATAAAATATAATTCATTTCCACTAAATAATTATAATTATTTTTACTAATCGATTAATGTCTTTGAACATACATATTACAGTCTTTATTAATATTCTAACGGGTTTTAGCAGAAAAATAAAGTTCATCACTACCTTTATCGCTCTAGGTGTGTCTAGGAGCATATTATGAGAAAGTTAGTTGCGGCGAAGGCACGAGTACAAGCACGACTTGGTCGCGGCGTCTATATGCACTCAACAGCTACGGGAAGGCTCTACAGTACGGGCATAAATACTTATATCAGAGTATGCCTCGAATGTTGTCTATATGGTATGTAAATACAAGTATTTATATTTTGTAGATTTTTACGTTTACTCATGGGGTGCTTTGCAATGGATTATCATCATCATCAGCCTATAAGTGCCCACTGCTGAGCAAATGCCTCTATGGATATGGATAAGATTTCAGTATTAATCACCACGCTTGCTCAAGGCGGACTGGCGATTTCAAACTTATAATTAGAAATTATATGTTTAGGTTTAACCTCCGGGTAACCACGTCGGCAATGGATATTTGGATGTATTATTATAGAAATACGATATAAATTGCTATGCTTTAAGATAATGCAATAAGTATGTAGTAGCATAACAAAAAGGAAACGTATTATCGTCATGCCGAGGCTAGCTTTGTTACGCTATACCAAACTGTCAGGCTAAAAAATGTTTGTTCCGAGACAGTTTTTCTCATGTCGAGGAAAACTTCGTCAAGACAAAATAAGCTTAGTGCCCAACGTATCTTAGGCTATGCTGTCCCTAATAAATCAATATCCTAATTAATAATTATGTATTGTAAAATATCTTCATTGACTATACAGGTTAGATGTTGAAGTTACATCTACAGACACAAGCGCGCATCAAGTGTTAGCACAAATGACGGAGATCATCAAGACGTACTCTGAGAGACTGCCGCTGTATCTCTATCTGACGGCGTTCTCCCAAATCGTATCGAGGATCTGTCATCCTGTAAAAGAGGTAAAAACACCATTGGTTCTGCTGAATTTCTGTTAAAAATACGAATTGCCAAAGTGCCAAGAAAGATCAGTAAACAAAAAATTATAGTTTTATAACCAGTTAATGTAAGTAATATCATTCATTGTAAGTGTGGGAGTGCAATGTGGAGCGATACCACGGCCTCACAGAAAACCAGCGTGAAACAACTACAACGTTTTGTTTCGCCGCATGAATGAGGTTACCTGAGGCTCAATCCATCCCCGCTCTCAATCCCTTACTAATCCCAAGATCTCCAAACCCCTAATCGACAAAAGGTCGGCAACGCACTCCGTTCTTCCGTTGTTCGGGTGTCCATAGGCGGCGCTGATTGCCTACAATCAGGTAACCCATCTGCTCGTTTGCCGAACTATCACATAGCAAAAAGTTAATACTAGTTCAAGATCTGCAAGCTATTTAAAATTCTTAACTTTCCAGGTGTATCTACAACTAAAAGCGATATTAGTGAAGCTGATAGTAGCGTACCCTCAACACACTCTATGGATGATGATGAGTGTGATGAAGTCCAGCTACGCACAACGTATCAAGCGCTGCGCCGATGTCTTCGCAGACCCCAGGCTCAAAGAACCACGCCTGTTGAAACTCATCAGTGATTTCACACAGCTAGCTGAAAAACTAATTGAACTGTGCAATAAACCTATCGCTGGGAGCTCCTTAGTAAGTATGAAGATCTGGTATTATTAAAATGATATAATATATTGACACTACAGTAGTAAGAAAGGAATGTATTTTGTATATTAAATAATTAACGTGATCCATACTAGACTTATTAAAAATAAGGACTTACGTGAAGTGACTGTCCACTACTGGCAACTTGTTGGTTGCATTGAGGCAAAGAGCACGCTACACAGGAATAAAATTCTCGTGTCTTGAAGTTCGTGACTACGTTAGTACTTATTTTCAGTGAAAAACGGAAATCTTTTACGGAGGAGATTTTCACGTAACATTAGGTTTAGGAACTACCTAGTTACGTCTAAAACGTGTCATTTTTATGAGAGCCTTCACATGATAATGACACTGGTTTAATGCGCATGAAAAGGTGTAAAAAATAAAAAATAAATTACTGTTTAATAGAACCATAAAAATGGCTGTACTGGCAGAAAAACTTCATCAGTCTAAACTTACCAATCATGAAACAGTATCATTTCATATTTACCATACATCGTATAAGGCAGTCAAGGTTACAAAGTCGATATTAGTTTACAAAGGTATTACCCAACCTAACTGTCCTTCCGATATGAATCAATTATATCTACCTAATGTACGATAGTGGGATAATGGCCCACGTTGCCACACAGGGCGGCTAAACATGAACTATAAACAATCTTAATGCATATCTCTTGATTGTAGTAATTAATAGATTTTGATAAGATTACAAAAATTTTTGTTTTACGGAATTACGCATCTCTAAAAATATTTGTTTATTGTGGATTCTGATGACGTAGTATTAATAATGGAACGTCATATTTCAATCATGATTGTGAAAGGATGGGTTTTATCCACATTTAACCCTGTAATCTCATTTTCTTTGTACTTACTTTCTTCTGCATAAAAGGATAATATTTACACACTTCGCAATATATCTTCTGATTTATTTCGTTTCGGGATCCAGGCATGTCGTTCATGCCCCTTGGACTTCAGTGAACTGGTGTTTTATTGGTTGTATTTACTGTAGATTCTGGCTTACCGGAGTTGAAGCGGTTTAGGAGGTCGTGGCGGACTTGTCCCATTATTAAAAAATGTGCAACTATATTTCCTTTCTTTTCTACAGGCAAAGTAGAGAACAAAGATTTCAGATTTATTATTATAATATAAATACGTTACGGGAATTCCTGTCTCATACTATTTACATTATATTTTCAAACATGCTAACGAACACCTCATAATGTTGATCTATGACGAAACATAGTTGTCGGAATGTTCGTACTGTTTGTGTTATCACGACAGTGTCAAATCGTATTGCAAATAGAACACCTTATGTATTCCTAGTGCGTAATACTCGTTAATATGTTAACGCCTTTAAAGTAAAGAATAACATAAACTTAAACGTAACTTGTGAATTATAATATTTGATATGCAATTTTGAACTGTTCTTGGGGTAAAAATAAAATATTCCATTCCTTATTATGAAGCGTGGGAGAGCCAAAATTCGGCACGCGTGGGCTGGCTCGACCGGAATGATATCAAGGCTTTACAAAAAACGGGCGTGAAACAACCACAGTGTTGTGTTTTGCCGTGTCTCCTAATCCAAACCCAATTCCCCCCCAATCTACAAAAGATCGGGAGCGCGCCTAGAGTTGCGGGTGTCCATGGGCGGCGTCGATTGCTTACCATTAGGAAATTCATCTGCAAGTTTGGTGGTGGCGTCGGTATTACATAAAAAACACATAGTTTTCTGCTTATACATACATTTTGGTTAATTTCAAGTTGGTTCACCTTGTGCCTTTTTCGATGGCAGAGAATACAAAAGCACTTACCTGAGAATTGTGTCCCCACATTTGCAGACTACAACGGTATCTACTCTAGTCAGATCGCTTCCTCGTCTGCTTGCGAGTGACAGCTTTAGTCACGTGATGATGCCGTTCCAAGAGTTCTGCAAGATTGTGTTACCGTCCAAGGCGGCGCGACAAGAACGCATCGACTTCAACATACCTACGGAACCACCGGTGTACATCGCGGGCATAGAAGAACAGATTAGTATACTGCCTTCGTTGCAGAAACCTAGAAAAGTTACTTTAAAAGGTAAACAAATAATTATAGCCTTCGATCTAGAGTGATTAAATAATAATAATTATTATTATTATATACTTGAACACACTAGCAGCTTAGAAAGCTGATTCGTGCGTATTAATGGATTTGGAGATTTTGTCGAGTCTGTTTTTAAAAGAATTAACTGTGGGTGCTTTTATCACATTTTCTGGGAGTTTATTCCATTCCGTTTATTCAATTGATTTACAAAATAATCTAAAATTTACCCTTTTGCTTAGGTTCCGATGGCAAATCCTACATAATAATGTTGAAACCGCGCGATGATCTTCGTAAGGACTACCGTTTGATGGAATTTAACGGAGTCGTGAATCGTTTCCTGCAAGATGCGCCGGAGACGCGGCGTCGAAGACTTTACATACGAACGTACAGCGTTCTGCCTTTGAATGAGGAATGCGGACTCATTGAATGGGTACCGAATTTAGTCGGCTTAAGACCTATACTAATGCATATTTATAAACAGAAAGGTAAATATTATTACATCATATTATTTTTTACTAGTTCTTTCCTATAAATCAGATGCAATAAAAGTACCGTAAAGGTTCATATTATTATGATAGGCGTATGCTACCTCAATACGGTAGTTTCCTACTAGTCAAATTCAATACTTTTATCCAAACATCAAAAACGATACTTTTTTATTTTTGTATGAAACTCCAAATTATGACGTCATAGTATTATTGAGTCGTAAAGCTTAAATTTCTTAAAAAATATCGAAATATCGACAGATTGATGAATAAAAGTATAGTTATTATACAATATTTTATTGTATTGAAACTTTGAAGTAATTTATTTTTGACCTAGGAAACTACTTAATTATTTCTGTCTTAGGTATTCACACCAGCAACCGTGAGTTGAAGGAAATGATGTGTGCAAATAAAGACCCGGTTGAGAAAAAGCGGCGTATCTACGAACAACAGTTGCTACCTCGGCACCCTCCCGTGTTCCAAGAGTGGTTCCGAAGGGTGTTCTCCGATCCCTATGGATGGTAATTATTTGGAGCAAACTTCTTGTGAAAAAGAATTTGTATAATTGGACTTGGGTTTAAATTAATGATGATTTTTAACAGGTATCAAGCCAGATCCGCTTACATCAGAACTACTGCTGTTATGTCAATGGTTGGATATATTTTGGGTGAGTTCTTAAATATTTGTACTGTCTGTGATTTTTTGTACGTTTTGTAGGAAGCTGCGAGCAAAACTTGGGATTAAAAAAAATAAAATATAATTGCTTTTTTAAGGTCTTGGTGATAGACACGGGGAAAACATATCGTTCGACTCGACCAACGGTGACACGGTGCATGTAGACTTCAATTGTTTGTTCAACAAGGGTGAGGCGTTCGAGTGGCCGGAAAGGGTTCCTTTCCGACTCACACACAATATGGAGGCGGCTATGGGACCTCTCAAACATGAAGGCATGTACAGGTGAGCGAATAATAATAATAATTAATTGTACCTTTCCTACTGTTAAAGTACTGCTTAAAAATTGCAATTTCATCCTTTTTGTTGGATTTTGAAAGCTGGTTACAGTTATAAAAAAAAAAAGTTTGGAGTGTTTATAAATGTGGGGATAGGTTCGTTTACATATCTCACATTACTCATAATTTAGTAACATTTTAGATGTTAACATTTGATATGTTTTGTGTGCCTGTTCTCGCGGGGAAAAACGCTCGTCCAGTGAATATAGTTCCTATTACACTACATTATTATTTAGATTTTATAACTCATAATGAAGAGGATAGCCGGTTGAACTAATAACAGACTTGCCATGCAATCGAAATTCTTAGATTAACATAACATTTAATTTTTTGCGCGCACTTTTTGTCGAGACGATACCTACAAGGAAAAAGCAACTGACGTTTTATCCTTTTCTATTATGAATAGACTATAAAAAGTTCCTTGTACATTTTTGATTTTTTTCTTTTCATTTTTTTATTTCGTTTTCGTAGATTTATTGATAGTAAATATTTTTTGTTACACTTTTTGCACTCTATTGTGAAATGTAAGTGAGACTGTATAATCAATATTTCTACAATATTATTATGGAGTGTTATTGTTTAATATGTACCTACATAAACATACTTTTTCTCAATAGAAACACCTACTCGATTGAGTACATGGGGCCTTATTTGCAATCAGCTTTAAGACATTTGACACGGACTAAATTCGCAATTTTGCGCCAGATCGTTTTATTCTCGAAAATATAATTTAGTTCCAATGTCATCGTTATGTACAAAAATAGCATTACTCGTAATTAAACGGTTCTAATTAACAATCTAGATGTAATCTTGTATTGGGTTTTAAGATTGTTATCCTATATATTTTTTATTTTGCCTTTTACATTAAGCATGCATACTGGTACTAAATCTGTAAAGTGCAAAAATTACCTATAACACTTCTAGACACACACTTAGATTTTTATTATGACCTGTATTTCTTTAAACTAAGCGATATATATATTTTAAACTCAAACAAAGATGGCATTATATAGGATAGGATGGACAAGGTGGAATTATATAGTTACAGTGTTTAAATATAAAAAAAATGGTCTCCATAAATATATCATTGTGTAGAGACATAATACAACACCTATTGTGTACTTACCTAATTGTTAATAGTTCTCACGAGGTTACACAAACAAGCTGTGTTTAAATAAGTCCCGAGATGACAAATGTTTTTGTATAATCTATGACATAAATTGTACATCTAGTCTTAATGGCCGTTGTAGGTTGATGTTGGCTTATTTTGTAATTTTCACTATAAATATACAACTACCTAATTTGCAGGAAAATCATTATTTCGTACCAATCCAAACTGATATTATAAATGCGACAGTAACTCTATCTGTCTGTCTTTTTCACGCCTAAACTACTGAACCTATTTGTGTGAAATTTGGTACAGACATAGTTTGGAACTCAAGAAAGGACATAAGATACGTTGTTTAAACAAAAAACTGCAGGAAGTCACTATTCCACGCGAACGAAGTCGCAAGCAAAAGCTAGTTATTCTATATAGCGAGAGCGACCCGCCCCTGCTTCGCACGGGTGCAATGCTGATACTAAATTTATCCACTATTTAATGGATGTTATTACACATATAAACCTTTAAAACGCATCAACATCTGTTACGTATTTTTAAAGATTTATTAAGCATTCATTGGAATATAGGCACAGAGAAAGCTGATTTGTTTTATAATATGCAATGACCGATAGGTATTCAAAGCCAATTATAATTATAATATTCAGAGTAACTTACATTTTATGTTCAATACAATAATATGAAAATGATTTTCATTCCATTAAAGAACAAGTATTAAAATTGAAATTCTATATTTATTTTGTCACAGGAAAAGTTGTGAAGCGGTAATGCGAGCTTTACGCGCCCAAACTGCGGCGCTGATGTCGGTCATCGAGCCGTTTGTGTACGACCCCTTAGTGTCATGGGGTAAGGTACGGCAGATGGACTGCGGCGAGAGGACCAATGAACAAGCCATGCAACATCTACTACATATCAAGCAACGACTCAATGGAATGGTAAATAAGTCTATTTTTTTCTTTTTAGTTATTGGTAGATATATAACCTATAGATATAGTTATTGGTAGATATATATATATATATAAAGCTTAGAGAATTTAAATTTTTACCATTAGTATTGGCTGATCCTCTCTCTGACGTGTGAAAAATGTACGACTTTTTTATGAATATAAACTTAATAGCTTCCGCCTACGGCTTCGCACGATTTTTTTTTGTTTTTGATTTAACGTGGTGGGACCATGTTCAAATCTCTAGGACTTTTTCCTGTGTCGAAACAACAATTTGTGGATCACACAAAGCGTTTTTTCGTGCAGCAATCGAACTAGTGACAGGTGCCCAGCCACTACGCCAACCGTGAAGTCAAATGAGTAATGTATCCTAGGATTTATTAAAAAAACAGCAGCGTTTAAAGCGATAGCTCGACGAAATTATGCATATCATAAATACGTATAATTTGCGCCAACATCGGACCTATCTATCAGTGAAAGAATTTTGTAAATCCGACCAGTGGTTACAAAGATTACCTACCCTACATATAAACTTACTAATTTTACCTCTTTATAATATTAGTATAGATAATATAATACCTCATTACTTTGCTTGAATGTCAAATTGTGTAATAAACTAGTTGTATTTGTATATCATCGTCATTTTATAGATACATTATATTTTATTGAAACACTATGTCACATATTTCAAGGAAAATAATTTCACACACGTGTTGAGAGACCATCATAAGAATAATTATGTTTAATGCATCTTGTTTTACTTTGAGATTACAGTTGACTATTATGTAGGTGGTTTTGGTTATTATTATTTTATCCGGCACTCAATCGAAATTACTACCTACATTGTTTACTTTTCATGTAAACATAATGAATGTATTTTTATTACGCAGAGTGTAAAATCAACGTCTAAGATGATTGGGTAGTTTTCTAGGTCAAAAATAAATTAATTCGACGTTTCAGTACAATAAAATATTGAAAAATAACTATACTTTTATTTATAGATCGATCTATACACTAAATTTTAGATATTTATTAAATAATTATCAAGAAATAACTAAGCTATCTGACGCAAAATTAATAGACTATGGCGTCATAACTCAGTTTTTCATATAAATTTCATAGAAAAGTATCGTTTTTGACATTTGGATTGTATATAAGTAATATATATTTGAAAAGTATTGAATTTGACTAGTTGGAAACTACCGTATTGAGAATATTTTTTTCAATTCCCAGGTGAGGACAAAGAATAAGCAGCTATCGCTATCCTTGTCTCCAGAAGGTCAAGTGGAACATCTGATCGTGGAAGCGACCAGTATAATCAACTTATGCCAAATGTACATAGGGTGGGGGCCCTTTTTGTAATTCAATACTAAAATATTGTGCCTTAAACTGTGATTTATGCTAAGATTTAATGATGTTACTAATACGTAATTTGCTATTGTATTTTGAGTCTTACTGTTATTAAATAAGTGTTAGTGTTATTGTTTGATGTTTTATTTGCCCTTATTTCGTATTCCTTTTTTAGTATGGGATACAATAAATAATATTCATCATCATCATCAGCCGCAAAACGTTCATCGCTGGACAAAGGCCTCCCCTTTAGTTCTTCACGGTCGAATGACAAGTCGCTCCCCACGACTCTCATAGGTTGTCGGTCCACCTAGCAGTTCTGACCACACTGCGTCTTCCGGCCTTCAGGCACTCTACTGACCATTCGGTGGTCTGTCCTTCGAGCGAAATGGCCTACCCATTGCCATTTCAGCACGCAGCTTTGAAAAGCTATTAGTATCGGTAACTCTGGTTCTTTGACGGTTTTCCACATTTTGGATTACGGAGCTGCAACTAACGCACTCTCCATCGTTTGTAGGGCTACTTTTAGTCTCTCTAACATATCTCTAACATGTCTCTAGCATACGTATGTCGTTACTGGCAATATACTCAATAATGTCCCGAATGCTGCCCATACGAGATGGATTCTTCAAGCGACGTCTTTATCGAAGTTGGATTTACTTAACTGGATAATCTGTCCTATAGCGGCAAGCCTTCCCAATGATGACTGGTATACATAGGTGTTATGTACGTTTGACATTATTTTTATCACTCACTTGACATTATTTATCCAAGTTCATCTGAAGTCCCAGCTGTGGGAAAACATTGAAGCCGCTGAGCATTGTCTTCAGGTCCTCCAACGACTCTGCCCCTCTATTAATGTTGATGCTAAGTGCGCTCCGATTCGAGTACTTGAAAACGGCCTCCAATGCGTTCGTGAACAGTTTCGGAAAAATTACATCCCCCTGCCTCACGTCTCTCTGCAATTGGATTGGTTTTGTGCTGTCTTCCTGGAGTCGAATGAGCATGGTGGCGTTTCTATACAAACTCTTCAACACGTCGATATATCTACCGTCTACATGGCCGTTAAACAGGCGGCAGCATCGTACAAGTTTCGATTGAATCTGAAATGGCTTTCTCATAGTCCAGAAACGTTAGACGCAATGGCTGAATATACTTACTTCTCTGTCTTTTGTATAATCTGGCGAAACGTATACTATGAGATTTCTGGTGCTAAGCCTTTTCGGAACCCGGATTGTCCGGGAAGCTGATAGTCATCGAGCCTGCGTCCGAGATGGTCCGTAATGACCCTAGAGGACAATGTGAAGGAACCTAAGCTATTTCATAATTATTATCTATGTGTCTAAATACGTAAATAAACATAAACAAATAGCCGGGGTTGCGGGGTAAGCGCAATGAGGCACCGCGACCTCGGCCTAGAGCAGGAGAAGGAACAGGGGGGTTTTTAGTGAGTAAAAGTGACACTCCCTCCTGCCCGGTCCTGGGCGGGAGAAGTCATTTGATGATTTTCCCCTCACAAAAAAAACATAAACAAATAAACATCGACTTCCCGAGTAGAGTAATTACTTTTTCTAACCTCTTATAAATAAAACGAATGGCAGATGTGTCCTACAAAAAACCTTTTGTGCTGTATTCTCATTCGATTGGATATCTGTTGATGACTTTTATTTGCGTGTAGTTAAACCGAGTCATTTATTCCGCGCTCGCCTCGGCCTTGTATAGTTTCCTAGATAGTTACTATGGGATTATGATTAATATAGTTACCTATAACTTATAATGCTGTTACTATTAATTACCTACGTATTTTAAAGCACAGATTTTAAAGCTCAATAAAATCCGGTGAGTTTCGTTAGATACTGTTGATAGGTTCTGATTGGGGAAAATGCAAAAATGTTTAATTTATCTAGTTCCAAACACACTAGGTAAGAAGTTGGCATTCATTTTGGTACCTCTGAGGAATTAATCATATTTGATTATATATAGATATATATCTATTAACAGAGAACTAGGAACGGCCTACTATGTGAATGTTGTTTCCGTGTGAATAGAAACAACGTTTAACTAGGTACCTATAATGTTGTTAGATTCTGTAAATTTTTCAGGTTGTACGTAACGAAATAAATAAAGGCGTTCTAAATTAAAAATAGAAGCCTAGCATATGTTTTCACCTAAGTAGGTGCCGATAACTTATCATGTTGAATGTGGTAGGTACCTATCAAATAAGTTCCAAAGGCCAAGTATCGAATTTAACTGCTTGTCTAATTTGTGATAGAAAACCTACGAATTACCTACCACCGAATGGTAGTAAATTGTGAATGACACTTAAATGCGGTGAGATGTCTTAACCAAAAAGGGAGATAGTTAAGTTAGGTGGACGACTGAAATACCTAAGTCCCCAGCGGAAATAAGCAACGAAATAATTTCGCTATACATTTATAGAATAGGCACGTATTTGTGCGAAGCAATCTAATCGCTGATAGCTGAACGGATGATAAATATTCGACCTTGTTCATTGTGAATTCTTCACGCGTTTTGGGTGACCCTTCCCTCTAGGATTGTCCTCAACGCTTTGTGGATCATTTATTTTTGTCAACCTTTATAACATCTCGATACCAATACATAACTAAAATATTTTCTCGTCGTCGCACTCGTTGGATATGACAGAAGCCAAATATTTGGGGAGGTAAATAAAATGTTACCGTGTGCACACAGATGGGCTATTGTAAGCCTCAACCAATCCGAAATGTAAAGTCAAATCTTTTTACTCTTCAGTGATTAGGTATATTAAAACATATGGTATAAAGGTTGACCTATTATTTTAAAAGGGGAATAAAGAGAGAAAGAAAGAGAGTAGGTACACATCAAACACTCTTTGTATTAGCTTCATGTTTTATGGAAACATTTTACCTCGGTCCGGCGGTCGACCTAGTATCGTTTAGCGCAGCGCGTGTAGGTAGCTCGGTTGACAGGCAATATCCGGATGATCCATTGTTCACCTCATTGCGGATTCTGAACGGCGATGCGGTCTGGCCTCTCTCATTCAGCTCTTGCTCAGCACTGAGGAAATAAGAAAAAAAAACTGCAAATAAGAGAAACGCATTTTAGATTGAGCCGGATAGAATAACGGAAGCTTAAATCCAATCTTAGAGGACCATTGGATCTCAAACAGATCAGGGTAAGGTTATGCAATGCAGCGCAGTGCAGCTTTCTTACTAGCTATTTGCATGGGTTGCATGAAGCAATATTAGGTATTTTATTTCCGAGACGGGAGACGGGATGCAAATTTAAATTCTACCATATTTTATCCGTAACTTCGTTCCCGCAAGTGAGGAACGATCTGTTACCGTCCAGCTCATAATTTGACTTCATAGTAAGTAGCTGCTTCACTTATCTACCCCTGTCAGGTAAGGAGATAGGAAATACTGTCTAAGGAAATGAAAACAAAAAAAGGATTGTACTTGAATATATAATGTAAGTAAGTATCTAGGTCGTGTACCTAGTCCTACCTACAATTCTTAGAAATCAAATAATTAATTACCTTTTTTTATAGCATCTTCAATATACCTATAAAGATTCTAATAAAAAATGTCTTCCTGGATCTTAAATCACAATAAACTAATTCCAACAATGAGAATTGGTTTTCTATAGTTGTGATAGGGTGCTTGCTATATACATACATATATGCAACTTAACTATCGCCAATTTACACTGGCTTTCATAGTTCATACTAATTTAGCAGTAGCGACTAGATAGATATGTCGGAACAATGAAATTGAATCGCAATACTGAGGAAACATCAAACGTATTGTCTCCTTCAGCTAGTTGCCAGTAGCATACAGGTGTTGGTTCTTGTAATAGCTGGCAGGTGGTTAAATTGTCATGTGGATATATTGACTATTGTTATCATATAGTATACTTAGGTACTTACTAGGTATCATATTTAATAATAAAATAATTAAGTAGGTATATCAATGGACGATGTGTAATTTCGGGGTGCATATCCTAGAACCTATGATCTTTAAAGACCAAATTTTCCTTATGTATTAGATATCAGTGATCCGTTATTTTCCCCTAAGAATTTAGAAGATTTTAAAATTACAGTCCAATAACTATTGTAATTCATAAGTGATCTTATTCGCAACCATTTAGTCAACAAAAATATCTGTACTTACTTATGCGAGATTTATGTAAGAAGGTACTTACAATGTAGCGACTCTAGCGTACTTTTTATTATAGGTATATGTTTTTGTAAACTGTTTGTATGGTTAAGCATCTGACATCTGACTGGGGAAGTACCTCCACCTACCTATTCAAAGTTATCATTATAATTCATTGTAAAAAATTGTATTGTGTAAAGTTACTGAGATGAACATCTTAACACCGAGCGCAGTATAATTTTCGTCAGTACTTTTTGCGTAGGTAGGAACGGACCAATAAAAACGATTTTGGTACGTATGTTACGGTGTGGGAGAGCTATGTTTCGGCACGAATGCGTCCCAGCTTGACCGTAGTGATACCACAGCCTCAGAGAAAACCAGCGTGAAACAACCATATTTGTTTTGATGTGTGGGTGTGTGTTGTCGGCGGCCCAAACCTTCCCCTTCCCATTCTCTTTCCAATACCTAAACCGCAAACGGTAAGTGTGGAAGAGCCATGTTTCGGCCCGAATGGGCCTCTGGGCCGGAGTGATAACAAAGCCTCACAGAAAACCGGCGTGAAACAACCACAGCGTTGTGTTTCGCCGTGTGAGTGAGGATACCGGATGCCCAATCTTTCCCCTGCCCCAATCTCCAAATCCCTACCTAAAATCACCAACCCTAAAAAAACCCTTATCCCCAAAACGATGGCATCCCACTTGCATGATGGTGAATGTATTAGTGCAGCATCGGTTTTTCACTAGCTTTGTTTTTATTTTATGGTAAGCGAGAAGACCATTAAGCAATAGGCTCCCCATGGCCATAAGCCAAGCTCAATTCCAGTAACCTAGAATCTAAACCTTGATGATACGACCCATGCTCGGTTCACTCTTACCTACATATACTAGTGGTGAAGGCAGTCGGTTATATTCTCTTTCAGAATCAATCCGACCGCGTTAAGCCAAT